ATTCCTCTATGGCTGTGTCTCTTCTTAAAATTCTTTTAACCAAGAAGACAAGAACAGAGGTCTCACAATCATCATCAACAGTATGTAAATTACAGTTCAATACCAAAAAAAATTAACACTGTGTTCCTCTTCCTCCTAATGCAGTTGTAGCTACCCTCCTGAATTTTCTCTCTATTATCCTACTGATTATTAAATTTTTTTATAAATACATCCCTTAATAATAATTTAATGTAATCCTTAACAATATATATTTAGATTATATTTTTTGAAGCTTGTAAAAGTAGAATTAAACATCAAGCATTGCATAACAGTTTTTTTGTTCAATGTTGTTTCATATCCATGTTGATTGGCTGTAGCTATTCATTCATTTTCATGGTATTCCCACTAGAATGTGTCACAGTTTACTTATCCTGACTCCGTCAACATCATTTGAACCCAGAAGGTGGAGGTTGCAGTGAGCCGAGATCATGCCACTGCACTCCAGCCTGGGCAACAGAGTGAGACTGTATCTCAAAAATAAAAATAAAAGTTGACATTTGTCTTTTACATATGAGTCTGAAATCCTTCCTAAACTGACCTTTTCCTGTGTAGTACAAAGTCCATGTGGTTATATGTGAATGTCATTTACTAGTTAGGGATCAACAAAGCACAGCCCACAGGCAAATGCAGCCCTTCCCCTGTTTTTGTTTTGTTTATAAGACACTGGGTCTCACTATGCTGCCCAGCTCAAATGATTCTCCTGCCTCAGCATCCTAAAGTGCTGGCATTACATGTGTGAACCCCATGTCCGGCCTCCTTCACCAGCTTTGTTACATCCCAGTAGGTAATAATGGTTTCTGCATTTTAAATGGCTGAGAAAAATAAAAAGAAAGCTAATAACTCATGACCCATGAAAATTATATGAAATTCAAATCTCAATCCACATAAAGTTTTATTAGAATATATCTATGATCATTTGTTCACATACAATATTGTCTATAGTTGCTCTTACACCACCACAGCAGAGGTGACTAATTACAGCAGACACTGTGAAGACCACATAAAGCCTAAAACACTTACTCTCTAGCCCTTACCAGAAAAGTGTGCCAATCCCTGAATAGTTCATCCTTCCCCCATGATCTGAAGCACTGTCTCTGTTGTCAACCTATTTGAGGGTCTGTTTTGGAAATTTGGCTCAATCCATTCACCAATTTAACTATCTCTGCATCAAAATACACTCTCTTGATCAAAATAATAATTTATAATAAGCCTTAATAGTAACACAAGTCTCTCTGCCTGGCGTTCCTTCTTTTTAATGAAATAGCCCACTCTGCCTCTTTACTTTTCCAAATACATTTCAGAATCTGGTTTCCAATTCCAGGAAAGACTTTGCTGGGATTTGGTTTGGAATCACGTTGAATCTATAGATGAATTTTGAAAGAAACTGACAAACTTATGATATTGAGGTTTCCTATCCATGAATGATATATCTCTCTCCGTTTATGAGATCTTCTTTAATGTCCTTCAATATTTTCTCCATAGAGGCTCACTCATCTGTTACCATAATCCTTGGTAAAACTCACCTATACATCAGTAGTTACCAATTTTCTTTGTGGGAAAATTGGTAACTACCGATGTATCCTTTAATGAGTAAAGGGCTGCTTAGATTTTTTAATGTATTCTTCGTTCAATTTGATGACATTTTTCTTGGAATGTATCAATTCCATCAAAATTTTCCAATTTTTATAATTATTTATCAATATTTCTCTTTGCTGCTTTAATTTCTGTAGCATCTGCAGTTATGTTCTCTTCTTACTCCTAAATCATTTGCTGTGCCTTCTCTCTTTTATATGCTTGTTTTTCTTCACTTATTTTTGTTCCTATCTTTGTATTGTCTTCCTCTTTTTCTGTCTTCTTAAATTGGATCATTTAATTCCTTAACTTGCACCTCTCCTTTCTCCCTTTCTCTTCTTTCTTTTGCTTTCTTTCTTTTTCTTTTCTCCAGGCTAGTATTGAACTCCTAGTCTCAACCTATCCTCCCACCTCAGCCTCGCAAAGTGCTGGGATTACAGGCATAAGCCACCATGCCCTGTCACCTTTTTCTTTTTTAATATAAGGATTTATGCTACAGATCTCTTTCTAAGCATCCCTTTTAGCTGCATGGTCTAGCTGCAACGCTAGATATCGACATCTAGTATTTTTGTTATCATTCAGCTCTAAATATTATCTAACTCCCATTAGTCTTCTTTTTTTGGCTAATAATGTATCTAGCACTATATTCTAAAATTGGTGGCTTTATAAAAAGAGGAAGAGAGACCTGAGTTAGCACACTCAGCCTCCTCACCATGCGATGCCCTGTGCCACCTCCAGACTCTGCAGAGTCCCCACCAGCACGAAGGCCCTCACCAGATGCATCTCCTTGACCTTGGACTTCTCAGCCTCCAGAGCTATAGGAAGTCAATTCATTTCTTATTAATTACCCACTTTCAATGACTTGTTATAAGCAGCAGATGATGAATTCCACCTTGCAATCACTCAAAAATGTCATTGAGACTATTAGATGCAAGCAAATTTAGAATTATTAGATATTTCTAGTGCATTGAACTTTTATCAGAACTTTTTAATCCTATGTCTAGTAATAATTTGCTTTAAAACCTATATATTCTGATATCAATGTAGTTACACCAGCTTTTAGCTAGTATACCAGTTCTTAGTATTTACCTAGCATATCATTTTATCCTTCTAATTTTTAAATTATATGATTTATTAAAGTCATAAAATTACTTAGTCAAAAATGATTAGAAGTCATTTTATTTCAAATCTCAAGTTCAAATTTCAGATATTATTAAAGATGTTTGCCATGTAAATTTTTTGGCACACATAAAGTACCAGAAAATCTAGTACTGTGCAATAATTACTCACCTACCATGTACCCACTGTCTCAATTAAAAGCTTATTATTTTGCCATATTTGCTTTATGTACATCTTTTTTTAAATCAGGGCATGTGTTTGCATAAGCCTAATGCCTTTATCACACTTAATAAAGAAAATAATTCCTTAATATTCTTTCGTATCCAGTCCATATTTAAAATTTTCCAATTATCCCGGTTAGCTCTTACAGTTTTCACATTTACTTGTTTTGCATACAACGTCTCTATCTAGGGCAGCGTTTACATGACCCCAATTTTTCTCCTTGATAACTCTTTAACATATCAGACCAGTTGTCATGCAAAATGCCTATCATTTTCATTTCAGTCTTAGTGTGTATACATATATGTGTGGTTTTTTTTTAGACAGTCTCGCTATGTTGCAAAAGCTGTTCTCTAACTCCTAGACTCAAGGGATCTTCCTGCCTCAGCCTCCCAACTAGCTGGGATGACAGGCAGACACTACCATACTGATTTCATTTATATTTTATCCGTGTTTTTATATTTTGAATGTATCAGCTATAAACCGTATTTTCCCTGGATTCGTTTTTCTAAGCCAGTGTCATGTTTGCCTTTTACTTTGCAAATTTGGTCCACTTAGGATTACTTATCTATTTAGAATTAGTTCCTCCATTTTGTTATTCTACACATGCCATCTTTTTTATGTAATTTTTTTCTCATTTATTGTGTGGTTTGGTTTTGGGTTTTTGCTTTTTGTTTTGCTTTGTTGTTGTTTTTCATTGAACCAGGTATTTCTGTTTTGCCTTCTTGTGCTGGTTTTCTCATTTCTTTTCCCCCCATAATTAGTTTGAAGATTTACACTCTATGTGTCCCCCATACCTTATACCATGTGAGAGAGTGAGCTTCCAAAGACCCACCACTTGTTGATCTGTGTCCCTTAAGTTTGGGACACAAGAACTGGCATTAATTGCTACATCAAAAGAGCTGGGACCAATAAAAAAGGAAACTGTATTGGAAGAAAATGATTCTTTTATCAACACTAGGACATGAATGGGCAGGTGTTTACCCTTCACCAGATAGGAAGGAGGGAGCTGGCATGGAGCCATCTGTAAATCCTGCCCAGGCCTCTAGCAGAGAGAATTTTCCCCAGACAACCTGGAGATGAAATAAATACCCACAAGCAGTTAGGGAAGCATCGGCCTGCGGCCTGCGGAAGGAAGGACAGTCGGCCCCAGGGGAGTCCGTCTGAGGAATACTCAGAAAAAAACCTTCAGAAAAATGGTCACTTTGAACACCTGCCAAGCCCAGCTAGTGAAAGCTGCAAGACCTCAAATGACCAGCCACACAACGTGGCACCTTCTCCCAGCCTGACCCATGAGGGCTCAGCCGCCGGGATGTCAGCCATGAGCCCAGCCACATCTCTAACCTGCTGAGCTCTCAAGCAACATTATCACCATGTGACCTGCCATCAGGCAGAGGTGATAGGCCTAGTGGAGATCACCTGACCCAAAGGTAGCCAATGGGAAAGCTGAGTTATCTGGGGAGCTGAGCCAATCAGATTCTCTCCTGGAGGAGGCAGTGGGAGCTTGGACCTGCAGACAGACAGCCGGGAAAGAAGCTGAGCCGATGCTGTTGCACGAGAGCAGGCAGGAACGTGGGATCAGAGAATTGGGGATCGTGGTAAGCAGAAGCGGTGAGGAAGCAGGCGTGCCGAGGACATGGAAGCAATAAGGCAGAGCAAAGACGAGTAGACCAGAGGAGAAGTAGGGAAATTTTAGTAAGATTGGCAAGCATGTACACTAAATTTCCTTATAGCCGAGGACTTTTTTTCTTTTTTAACTCCGCTGAACATCTACAGACTCCAGCTGCTGAGTCTCAGACGCCATCCTGGATTTAGTTCCAAGCCAAGGGTCCCGGCTGTCTGATGGTTTCTGTTCTTGTGTATCACGTCTGTCTGTCTCCCTTCCGCCCCACTGTACCCTGATGACCAGAAACGCCCTTTACTTGAGATAACTGGAGTTGGATTCTGTTTCCTGCAATGCAAATACAGCACGCAAAAAGCAAGTGAAAGAATATCCCTGACCGGGAAGAGAGCCCAGCTGTTCCCTGAACAGACTTCACACCAGGCAGTTCTTGCTGCATTTTCCCCAGTAAAATCTTCCCTCGTGGTGCTTTATTTTATTCTGCAAAAATAAGCCTTATTATAAATCACAATGAAATCCACAAACCAAACCCCAAATTCTCTAGCAAAACAAGACCCCCTTGATGTATAAAGTCACCGCTGACAGGATAGTCTTTTTAAGTTATTGCTTTTGTCGCTTGTTTCTTGAGAAGATGACGCCAATAAGGCCGATGGCTGCCAAGCCCACTCCTGCAATGCCTGCAGCGACGACGACATCTCTGACCTGCAACAAAGAGGAGGGTGAGTCAGACTCTGTGTCAGGATTCAGAGTACAGGCTGCACATTCAGCAGGAACATTCAGCTCGGGGTACCTCACATGCCCCTTGGCCTCCCTGGCAAAACTAAGGAGTCCACAAACATTGGTAGGGAAGAGGGGAGGAGAGGGCTGGATGGGGAAAGAATTGGTGGCTAGAGCCGGCTGGCCTGAAATTTACATGGAACAAAGATGGGAAACTGGATTCACCCAGTGGGTATTTAAAGCATTTAAATCCTCAGAGGGTGGCTGTGGAAAGGACAGGGAGCGGATGCAGGGATGGTCAAGATCATGGCTGGCCAATGGGGAGCTGTAGAAGCAAATGTGAAATCAGGGAGAAATTGTTATTGAGTAGTCTGTAAACCACAACCTCCATGAGAGCAAGGAACTCTGCTGTCTTGTTCATCACTGTACCCCCAGTGGCTGGTCCTGCCTCTTTACATGTTCTTAAAGACTCAACTATAAATAGTCGTAATGTTAGAATTACTAGGGTATCTGACTTGTTTGTAGTAGGAAAAAAGTGTTTCAAAACTAAAAGTAAATTGCCAGTAAAAATTGAATATATGTCCAATTTTACTGCCTCCTGAAACTCAACTAAAAATAAAGTAAGGCATTTGTTTAAAGCATAATTCCACAAGAAAATGGACTTAGAAAACACTAAGTCCTAAGGCAGCAGTGGAAAAAGCTGAGGATAAACCCTGATAATATAAAATAATCCTCCAAAAGGATCTCATATTAACCCCGGGTACCTCTAGAAGTGGGAAAGAATGAGAGAGAGCTTTAGGTGGTCCCTGAACCTCCTCCCTGACCCCCAACAGAGGTCTGAACGGTTATTCTCTGCAGAGGGCATAAAAGAAGATTTAGGGTCCTAGAGGCCTAGAAGCACATGTGAGAATGTGGGTATCAAACCACAAACAAGGGATTGAAAGACTGTAAACATGCTAAATGTGAGGCTCCCAGACCTCATACCTTTCTCTGTTCCCAGAACTTTACCCTCCACACAAGAGTCCAAAAGACTTTTCTGGGGAATCTGACTGGCCCAGATGAAAACAACAAAGGATACCCATTCTAGGAATTCCCAAATAGCCCAATCAGATCATCCAACAGTGAAACTCAAAGTCAGCAAGCCACTGCCCCTACGCCCACCCCACTCACTCAGAGCTCCATCCAGTAGCAAACCCTACTTTTTTTGACAAACTGAAAACTGTTCAGCAAACGTATGCAAGAGGGGAGATGCTCAGCCGGGCACAGTGGCTCACACCTCTCACCTCAGCACTCTGGGAGACCGAGGCAAGTGGATCATTTTGAGGCCAGGAGTTCCAGACAAGCCTGGCCAATGTGGCAAAACCCTGTCTCTACAAAAAAATACAAAAATTAGCCAGGCCTGGTGGCACAAGCCTATAATCCCAGCTACTCGGGAGGCTGAGGCATGAGGATCACTTGAACCTGGGAAGCAGGATTTGCAATGAGTGAAGATTGTGCCATTGTGCTCCACCCTGGGCAACGCAGCAAGAAAGAGGTGAGATATTCTGTTTATGTATGTCACAATTAAGGGATCTCAACAACATAATGATTTTACAGTATATATTAAAGGTCAGTATATAGAGAGGGTAAGAGAAAAGTAACAAGGAAAACATAGGTTGAAAGAATTAGCATCTCTTTCCTTATCGATGAACTTGAATAATAAATCTTGGTCAAAATAACTTTCTGATAGTAAGACAGTGAGTATATTAAGTGTATAAAACTGAGAAACCAAAATTACAAAATAAGAAAGGTGGCTTTACACAAGTACCGCTTGACAGAAATGTTACTTGTAATTTCTCTTGAAAAAAAAGAAATGCTTAAGATGCTTTAAGGATTCTAAAATAAAAAGAACCAATATATATTTAACTTAACAAATTTAAGAGGCGAAATTGTATTTAGATGTCTTAATTTAAAAACCTAGGCCACACTACACTTAGCAAACAGATCTTGTTTTTAGGATATAATTTGTTAACTATTTTAGTTTACACGAAGTAATAGGAGTTGGTTTTCTCTGAATTCAACTGAACATGATGGTTGGCAAGTGCATTTTTAATCATGAGCATACAACCAACATACCAAACAACTGAAGAGGGCCTCTAAAATTAAAGACAGAGACAAAAAAAAAAAAAAAAAAAAAAAAAAAAAAAAAGCAGTCTGGAGAAACAGAAACCATATCTAGAAAAGAAAACATCCATTTAAAAACTATCATTAGATCACTTCTCAGCCTTTAGGCTAAGATCAAGTATAAAAATTATCATTGGAGAATAAGATAGCATATTGCATCCAAAAGAAAACATCCTTTTAAAAACTATCATTAGATTACTCCTCGGCGTTTTGGCTAAGATGCAGTGTAAAAATTTATCCCTGGAGAATAAGACAGCATATTGCATCCAATAAATAAGAACATGGTACTATTTTAAAAATAGAATATTGAGAAAATAAAAATGGTTCATAAAAAATAAAAATATAATAGAAATAACAAACTCAATAGAAAGGTTGAAAGATAAAGTTAAGTAAATCTCTCAAAAGGAATAGAAAAAAATAAAGAAATAGAAACCGAAGGGGGGAAAATAAAAAAGAACAATCTGGCCAGGTGCAGTGGCTCATGCCTATAATCCCAGCACTTTGGGAAGCCAAGGCAGGTGAATTGCTTGAGCTCAGGAGTTCAAGACCATCCTGGCCAACATGGTGAGACTCCGTCTCTACTAAAAATACAAAAAAATTAGCCAGGCATGGTGGCAGGCATCTGTAATCCCAGCTACCCAGGAGACCAAGGCAGGAGAAATGCTTGAACCCAGGAGGCAGAGATGGCAGTGAGCTGAGATTGTGCCACTACATTCCAGCCTGGACCACAGAGCAAGACTCAGTGTCAAAAGAAAAGGAAAGAAAAGAAATGGTGCTCTGAGTCCCATCTTAATGGATAAAAGTAGACCTACACAAAAGCACATTACTATGAAATTTTGAACACTGGGTAAAGAAAAGACATTACAACATTTAGAGCAGAGGAGAAAAACAGGAAATGGAGAAAAGATCAGGAATCAGGATGGCTTCAGATTTCTCAAAAGCAATTGTGGAAGCAAGAAGACAATGGAACAATGCCTCCAAAACTCTGAAATGAAACCATTTCCAACCTAGAATTCTATACCCAAAGTATAAAATCGAGTGACAGGGTAAAATGACAAATAATTCAGATATACAAGTTCTCAAAAAATTTACTTCCCATGCATCTTTTTACGGAAAGATGCTGAAGATGGTGCCCCCAAAACAGAGGAGTAAACGGAGAAAGAAGAAGACATGAGATAGAAACCAGGACTGGAGAGAATAGAATGGAATCTCCCCAGAATGACAGTGAAGGGAGATCTCAGGATAACAACTTAGTACCAGGTATAAAGAATAACTGGTAGGCAGAATAATAAGCCCCAAAAGATGTTCATGTCCTAATTTTAGGAATCTATAAATATATCATGCTGCATGGCAAGTGAGAATTAAGGTTACTGATGAAATCAAGACTGTTAATCAATTTACTTTAAAATAGGGAAGTTATCCTAGATTATCCATGTGGCAAAATGTAATTACAAAGTTCCTTAAAAGATAGAAGACAGGGCCGGGCATGGCAGCTCACACCTGTAATCCCAGCACTTTGGGAGGCCAAGGCAGACGGATCCCAAGGTCAAGAGATCAAGACCATCCTGGCCAACATGGTGAAACCCATCTCTACTAAAAATACAAAACTTAGCTGGGCATGGTGGTATGCCTGTAGTCCCAGCTACTCGGAAGGCTGAGGCAGGAGAATCACTTGAACCCAGGAGCCGGAGGTTGCAGTGAGCCGAGATGGGCCACTGCACCCCAGCCTGAGCGACAGTCCGTCTCAAA